TGACCTAAAACTTTGCCAAAAATGATCAATCAAATTTTTCTTTAAATGGTTTTAAAAATGGCCTAAAAGCAAAGAAAAGTGACGTAAATTTGTTTGTCAAAACCAGTTCAGATGAACAACTCAAGCTGTTGGATGTTACTGATGTATTGGAAGCTTCTTTTTTTTGACCACGTGAACTCAACTTGCAAACTTGATTTGGTCGTTCATGACCTAGAAATCTCTATCTTTAGACATCCCGTAATCGGCCGATCCGACAATGGCTCTAATAGGCAACACAGGAACATCAGATTGCATACAACGGCTGATAACAATTTGTAATCTAAGAAATCGAGTGGGCTGAGTAATTATGTGGAGAACGTTTGTTGCATCTCGTAAGTATCGATGTACGTAATAACTTCACGAATCATAAAAACTAATGTGGCGCCATTTTGTACCCTAAAAGTGTCGCTGCAATGTCAAGAGACAACAAATATTTTACACTCGTGGAAATACCAATTTGACGAACATTACGGAATTCTGCGGTAACACTGGAACTCACCATGCGCCTTCCAGAATGAAGAGATCACCCAGGGAATGCCACGAAAATATTTCCCATACTATCACGCTCTCTCCGCCGGCCTGAACACGTCCGGCGATTGATGAAGGGAGTTTGCTTTCAGACATACGCCACCGACCATCTATCCAATTGAACAGAAATCATGATTTATCTGAAAAGGCCACCTGTCGCCACACAGTGGACGTTTAGTTGCGGTATTGGCGTGCAAATTCCAACATTCGTCGCCGATGAACAGTGTGTGCATGACGCAGGCGCGTGTTGCGGAAGCCAGCGTGTTGCGGAACGTAGCAACGTTCGCTGATCGGTTGTTGAGGAGGCCCCTTGGTTTATCTGGGCGGTCAGTTGCTCTACAGCTGCATTTCTTTCCGGCCATACATATCTCCGCAGCCGTCGTTCTCCCCTGTCGTCTATGTCCCGTTGTTCGCCACAGTTATCTCGACGTCGGTTTTGGTTATCTCCATTTTACCATGTACGGGATACTTTAACCACGGCGGCACGCGGACACTTTACAAATTTCTTCGTTTCGGAAATACTTCCGCCCTTGGCCCGAAAGCCAATGATCAGGCCCTTTTGGACGTCTGATAACTAGCTCCGATTCGGCATTGCGACAACCGTTTGCACATTTGCATTGCACATTTTTCCATTTACACCCGACACGCTTTGTATACATTGCACGTTTACGTTGAACATTCCCATTAATGTGACTGGACTGTGTATTATAAGAGGCTGCTTATGACTTTATTTTTGAGAATACTGTTAAAATTGCTTTGCAAATGAGAAATTAACTTGCATTGGTATTTCTTAAATTGCATTGAGAATTTTTTTTTGCCAATTCCATGTTTTCCATGTTAGTATTGCCCTTGTATTAGGTCAGAATAATAAAAATTGATAATATACTGTAATACTAATCAGCCTGGTCGTCATCTTTATGACCGGGAGAAGTGGCTCAGGGCTAATGTTACTTCAGTGCCTCTGACTGGGAGGTCCTAGGTTCGACTCCCGAAGGTGGCAGGGTTTTTGGCACTAGCTAGATAGCTGGGTCGAGTTCGGTCGCTGTCTGGAGGAGAACTCTTGCGGCCGACTGCTCCGATCGGTAGTTTTTCCACTTTCTCTGATCAGTACCAGGCGGATGCCGGAGCAGTACCCCATAAAACATTCCACGGACCGCGCGCGATCTTTCCTTCCCACTCCTTGGCCCTTCCTACCCCTTAGTTACACGCACACTTACAGACGCTCCACTACTACGCATACCGAGAGACCGGTTGGGGTGGTGCCCCACTGGTGGGAGCTACCTGGTTGGGTAAACGCCGGGATCCCACCATCCCACTAGGGAAGATTACCGCCACTTCCCGAGGAAAACGCATGCACTGCACTTACTGAACTAATGCTCTTAGTACTTGACGCGCCCGGAATCACTAATAATCAAACATCTTTATACAACGTAAACCTGACTGGTTGCATGGGGTGTAGTTTCCTCAATGATAACAATACCTAATTATCAAATAAACACTCATTACTGCACTCATACGTTACAGGATTGCCTGGTCAGACGCTCAGCGAAGAACCTGTGATCTGTGCATTTTGTTTTGATAATTTTAATAATTTCGTGTATTTACTATGCTTGTGCACACACATACTATTAGGTGATTGAGACTGGAATTACTAGGTAGGAAATCAAACAATATTGACTGGCTAATGCGAAATTTAATTGGATACGATGATGGGCTAAAAATTCACAATGTGCCGTAGAATTGACACTAATGAACGGCCGTCCGCTGCCGTCAGCTGTACGAAGTAGGAGCGAGAACCATCGCGCTGTCCTCTTGTGATGCCGCACCGTCCCTTAGAGCAAACGTCAACAAGGGAGCTCCCCGTCAAGCCCCGCTGCCTTCGTTGTCGGTCGTCACCAGGCCGCCCCTTCTCACCAAATCCTGCATCAGTTCGTCAGCTGGCTTACCGACACCGTAGTGTAAATGACAGTCTACGCCAAGTAAAAGTGTGTCTGTCGTAGGCTCAAACAGTGCGCAAAATGTTCAGGCGCGAATAAACGTGCCACAGATACGTCAGCAGTCGCGGTAATTTGTCGGAGCCAGTACAAACAATCGGCTTGCTATTCAACTAGAAGGTTCATGCTCGCTCACGTACAAAGCCACTCACTTATCTAGAGTGTCTGCCAACAAAATTCTTCTAAGATCATGCTCTTTCTACAATCTAAATAATTCTAAAATCAAATTCTTTGCACGATCAAAATGTAAGACCGAAATCATTCTGACGCTGCTCGGGCAGCTTTCCTATTATGAGGCCTCGGTTCCTCTACTCCGAGCACGTCGTCGTTGCTCCGCCCATTTCCATTTTCGGCAGCGAATGTTAAACTTCTAGGCCAAAAAGGATCTCCGCTTCCTGTTTGCAATCTGAATTCACCCTTCAATCATGCTGTCCTTCCGCGCACGTGCTGTCACTGACATCTGCAGCATGACCAATTTAACCCCAGGGAGCGTCCGAGTTTCCGAACTGTCGCTTGCCCCTTGGTTTTCGAATTTATTGCGGGAGTTCTATCTTGACGGAGTGTCTTTTCAGACTTTCCGCAGCTTTCCTTCATTTGTCCGTACTAGGTTGCGTTCACAAAAGGATCACATCCCACCCTGCATTACTACACTTAAAGTAGAAGAATGCTCTTTTGTAGACTTAGCTGCTTTGACTTGGCGGTAGTACGTGCTTGTGCCTTGCTTCTCGACGCGTTCATTGTTCCGTCTTGTTCTTTCTTCTGGTGAATAACTCTGCTCGTCTAGGCAGCTATATTTCCTTCAGGCCCGACTCGCCCGCTACGCGGCTTCATGACCTTCTTGCTTTCTAAAGGGGCAGCCCCATTTGCATTTCTCACGACTGTGGACTCTCACGATATTCTTTGCCTGCGCGCCCATTCTTTGTCGTTTACTTGGTCGCGGAACTTCGGAATTGTTTTAATTAAATTGATCGTTTCGTTCATGTGTGCTACATCACAGGACATTAGGACTGTATAGGTTCGATGTTTTTATGAAACGAGTTTTAACAAACATGCATAAAATATATAAAACGCTTCATAAAACGAGTGTGTTGTACTTGGTATAATTTTCGATTTATTTATCATCTGTGAGGATTACTGTGCACTATCATTACGGCCTCTTGTCTTACGATTATAATACTAATTAACAAAAAGAAAGGTAGGCCTCTTAGCAGCAGCGATAAGCAGAGCAAGTTCCAACTTGTATTCATAACTCAGGACATACTACTCTTTGAAAGGTAATAATGGACCGCAATATCTCAAAACTTCCGTAGCGTGCTCGATATAATACTAAGAATTGTTGACGATACAAATGAGAGAAAGTCTGTTACTCATCGGGGAGCGCGCTCCTCTTGAACACTAACCACTCGCAGCCAACGCCAATGCTCGTTTTGTCTATCCTCTTTCGAGGAAACCATACTAACCTACATCCGGACACAAAGGTAGCGTTACTCTCAAAAGAATTCGCAAATGATTGGACGTGGCGTAAAATTATTTGATGAAAATAGGACATGCTTTATTTCATGACTTTTTTCTTGAAACGCCGAATTTTACAGGGTAAAAGGTTCACTTTATACAACTTTCATGATTTCAGGGGACCATGATGAAAAGTTGCAATTTTTTGTAATATGTCACTCTCCGTAAAAATTGCGCTGACGTTTTTAACACTTCTCAATCCTGAATTTGTCTGTTTTCGTGTACACTTGTTTAGAGGGAAAGTATTGTAATGCTGCAGGAAAAAATGCCGATTATTTCGACAGAAGTATACGATTTGTGGCCCTGGATACGGAAAAGTAGTAAATGCTCCTCCGCTTAGTGGGTGTCGCGCGTTGCACGCTAAAAAACGAGCGTTATCTCGAGTGACATTATAGCTTGAAATCTGGGCATCTTCTCGCATAAGACAGTGTGACACGCGGTAAATGACTCTTGAGCGCGCATGTATCGACGAAGCTGTCGCCAGAGCTGATCGCTAGGTGACGCGCGTCAACGCAACGATTGTGTGACAGACCTAAACCTCTTGTGCACAGAATTTTCACCAAAGTCGATAATTCCGTATCCATCTGGAAGAAGTTTCAGCCCCTCGAATTTGATATGGATCTTTTAACTTGTTGACTTACATGAAGTCCCAAAGACATTTTCAAAAGAATTGCCTTAGTTTTTTTTTTTGTTTCTAATAGACCAAAGATAGCTTTTAAATATGATTCGTAGGTTCGATTTTCAATGAGACCTGTGAATTTCGAATATCTCAGAAGTTCAGCTGAGTGAAATACAATTTGTTATTCCCACAGAATACACATAAGTGTAGGTAGCCTGTTCTCACCTAGCGGCACGTGGACTAGTGCTGTACAAGATTAGAATCCTGTTGAGCTGATTCACTGACTAAAATGCGCCTTTTTTTTACAGTGGTATTTTTGTGATTTGACTGGATTACATGGAGATATTGCTTTGCTTTTCCTGCCTTTAAATATGGATGAGGAAACCCATGTTTTCCTTAACAAAGCAATCACCAAATCAGAATGGGTCTTAACCCAAATTTGGCACAGCGTCGCACGAGTACTCTTGAGTTGGTTCTTGTCACAAACATCCATTAACGGGTGAGTACTTTGTATCTTTTATAGATTTATTTTCTGTAATAATGTTCTTGAGAACGTTAGCAAATGCCGCCAACTGTTCAATTAGGTACCGGACAAATTGGGTTCATTTGCCTCAATTCCAGCTTGCTTTGCTGTAAACTTTGTGAGGATTATTATAACTACATTGAAGGTACACTTGATACAATAGTGATGTTTTTTTCCAATTGACAATTCTATACGATTCTTAGGTAATCAGTTTGCAGCATGCGTACGGAAGGCAGTGGAGAAGTTTTCAGTCTAATTGACTTGCTGAGTTGCTGACTTCTGACTAATTGACTAGCAAGGAGTGCATGCTCTTACGAGTTCAAACATGCGTATACACGATTTATTCAATGTTTCAGGCTATTTAGATCACAAATAAATAATAGATTGCCGACTTTAGTGCTGTGCAAATAGTCATGGATCAGAGGAAGTTGGAATTTCGAGATTTCACTAAATTACTCCCGAAGGAAGGCATAGGACCCAAGGAAATCCGTTCACGCATGCTGGCAGCATTTGGTGATAGTCTAAGCAGAGTCTCAATTGGGCAACATTTACGTTCTTTATTCAAGTGTCCCTTATATACAAAGTTGACGTGGATATTTCCCAAAAAATGGTACTTTAACGTAAACGCATGGTTCAGCCGTTAGAGCTAATTGAAAAACTGCGCATTTTGGCCTTCAACCCAAGATAGAGATCTCTCTCGCCCTATTACGTGACGGAACCTTTCTACTTTCACTACACCATACTTGAAAACGGCAATTGTAAATGAATTAATTGCATTGTTGTTGATTAACACTCAGCAAGTCGCAGTGCCAACATAGTGTATGAAATTTTATATCGCAGGGTATTCATATATCGCACCCTCAAGTGGAAAACTGCCACAAGTTAAAATGAGCAGTTTTTCAGGAGAAGCATGTAAAGATTTTGAGACAATATTAAAAATAATAAACATTATTTCAAGAAAGTGAAAATAATGTATATTAATATTTTAACATTCGTTAATAACATACCATAAATTACGAATACCTTGGGTTGATTATGCATACCTTTTTTTTAATTAAAAAATAATTGTTTTGAGTTATGGCAGTTTTCTCTTAAAATTTGTAAGGAGTTATTGCTGATATGGTGATCACAAATTTTCACTATTTCTATCATTTTAGTGGATATATTTGTATTTTTTTATTTAACTTTCAATAAATAAACTGGCTTAATACAAAATATTTCAATTTAACAATTTTGATTTAGACTCCACTTATACGACTCCTTTCATGTTGTAATGTTTCAGAATCGCTTGAGTTTTCTGTAATGATATTTCTATAATAGTTGTGAAATTGGGAAGGAATCTCTTTAGCATCACGTAAGTTCACTAAGTCCTTTTTGGCGTCAGTTATGCTAGGGGGGTTTATATAAGCCTTTTGCAAATTCAAGTATCCTGACTGAGGAAGACCCCTGCATCTTTGCCTAGTGTTGATGTGTTGCACTCTTCACTACAAGCAGTTTTATATTCTAGAATGAATGGTGCATGTTCTCTCAATTGCATCACCTTTGTCAGTCCATACAACTTTCTCCATGTTCATTCTTGTCGAAGTTTCTATCCATCTGACAAGCTAAATGTTTGAAGTAAAACAATCATCTGTTGTCAGGTGCTTGAGTTAATATGGATTTCTAGTCTTCTTAACTGTTTGTATGATTGTATGCATGTGATGTGTATTAGAAGAAAACATCCAAACTAATATGGGGCAGTCTTCTACTAGTTGAATAGTTCAGAATGGCGTGAGAGGTAAACTGAATTACTTCCAGAAGAATCGTCATTTTTCTGATTTAAGATGTGGCATTTTTCCAGGGCACGGACTTCATTAACAGGCACTTTAGCCACCAAATAAACCAAAATTATTTTTCGGGACTTCTGGCAGTCTTCCACTGGGGGTGCGATATCCTAACTTTAGGTAACTAAAATATGACTGACAATAGATTCTACATCTAGAACAATTTAGTATGTGAATATAACATGCGTACCAACAATACGGTCTGTAATGTACCAAATTATGACAAAATAAGCAATAAAGCTAGAAGGTCGAAGGGAATGGGTGGCCAGTGAGTTGAGGAGTCTGCACGTGCTCACTCGTGGGGTAGACTTCGTCTCTGTTTGCTGTGCGAACCCCGACTGCGTATATGTACTGCCAATACACTACCTTTGTCCTCGGCGTCTTCTAGAATAAAACCACTCTCGATCAATCGTCTCGGACTAGGTTTTTCACTGAACTCCAGAGGGAGCGGAGGGAGAGCGCTGGGTCATCTCCCAACTGGGGTGTCAACTCTGGCACCGCAGCGGAGTGTGTCCCCTGTTGGACTCCGTGGTAGAAGGGAGCACGCAGACGAAACAGCTTCCATCATATAGAACCTAACGCTCTTCCTCTTGCCCTCGGACAGAAGAGGGAACATTTGGAAAAGGTCGTCGTTTTGAATTTTTTTCTGCGAGAAGAAGACAAACCGTAGAACCACGTTTTTACCTGATGAAATGCGCCGGGGAACGGAAAACTTCTAAACGTCAGTGCAGTCAGAGTGGCTCGAACAATTGAAAGATTTGTTTGGATAGCTCCAAGCGGTCGCGCGACTGAGGAATGATACAATTCTCTTCGAATCATGCACCGAAGGGTAGATTGAGAAAATCCTCAATATTAAGCTGTTTGCCAGCCTCCAAGGGGATATGACCACTCAACCTATGTAAGCTAGTGGTCATCACGAAGATTTTTCTTCAGAAACTGAGGACAAACATCGTTCATTCTCTGAAAGTCAGGGAGTCATATAGATGAACGGGATCAAGAAGCATGGGATGAGATTCCCACTTGTCGTGGTACATGTGCTCACCTGACTTGCTCAGTGACTAGGGGGCGTGAGGGCCCCGGCCAGCGTCGGAGGGCCGTAAGAGGCCGCCGCGATGCCTGGAGGCGGCTTGTAGGCGTTTGCACAGCGAGTACCGCGACCGGCGTAGGAAGGTCGTCGGGTGACGGCGGCACTGACGAGGGCGTGGAAGGCGTCGTATTGCCTCCGAGTGGTGGAATTCTAGGCCGAGATGACAGTAAGCTCGTAACTTAAATGCGGCGCTGGAGAATCGGGACACCTGTGTCAGATGGCGAGAACGGACGGACGTTCACACGGAGAGCGTCCGGTCGACGCGACACAGCTAGCGAATACTACGCACCCCAGCCACAGCGAGTTGCGAAAACTGCCAGGCGGCGCGGCGTGAGGCAGTCGTTTGACACTTATACTTCAAATAAAACAGGAAGTTCGTTGAAACTTGATCAGCTGTGTTTTAATCGAAGTGTAATAGGGCTTGAGAAATCACCCCTGTCAGGTTCTCGAAACACGTGGTGGTGGGGGAGAGTAGGTCCGCCATTGTCGCCCATCTTGGTGCAGACTACCAGTGTCTTTCGGAAACCAAACTGCCTGCCTCCCGAATGTGTTGCCAACTCGTCATAGTTCTTGACGATCGCTCGAAATTTTGAAATTCGTTAACGGTTTATCGGTGTTGTTTCACGTTTGGTGTGTTTATGTTCCGAATTGTGAATGAAAAGGCCGAATTTTCGCCATAATATGAGTGGGAGTCGCGGAAAATACAAGACTATACTTTTCCACGAGATCCAAAAATGTAAGTAATATTAAATATTTCGCTACGAATGGTCTATTATCATTAGGATAATTAATATTATCCCTCTTTTTATATAGTCATATTATTTTTGTTGCAACATCATTAAATTGAATATTTTTTTAATCACTTAGCAATTTATTTATTACAAATTTTATTATAGGTGTTTGAAATGGCTGATGGCAATTGGGACCTAACACTAGCTTCTTGTCCATGGATGACATGAACAAGAGGTATGTGTGCTTAGAGTATTTCATGCGAGACTGCAAGTTGACTGCAAGAAACAGCATGACCTGGTGAGTATACAAACCTGTGAAGATGAGACACAGCACTATACAGATTGAATTTCCATAACACCTATTATTGTATTATAGACCCCTTCCCACCTGCTGGAAAAGATTGTGCGGGACATGTTGCAGGTGCCATTCATTCCAGCAACGATACGAAGTATAATACTGTCAATTTCAGAGATCTCGTAGTATTGCTGCGAAGTAATTTTGGATTTCAAGTGATATACTATAGTACGTACAGTGTTGCTTATGGCCTATTATACCCATTATTGTCTTTTCAGGAGAGTAGACAATATCTGAAACAGTGTCACTCTGTGAAACGTATTCTTCCACCAACCACATGGGCCGGAGTGCCAGCGGTTGTGGGAGTCTCAAAGGGTGTGTTTTAAAGTGTACTTTTCTGGCCTTCTAACCACATAAATACATTCATAGGCAAACATTCTCCAGTTGACGGAGTGACAAGAATAATAGGGAGTCACATGGCTCAAGCACAAATTAGCCTATCTTCAAGAATGAGAATCATTTATGCGTGTAAATTATTGATAATGCCCTTCAATTTAGTTTGATATCAGCGAGTGTCAAAAAATTGCTCAAGAACTGAATAGACAATACTCTAATATATTTTCTTATAATTCAAAACCTATTCAATACCTGTAACAAATATTGTTGAGTAATTCCGGGTATTAGATCTATCATTGTGTTTTCATCCACCGTCCATTGAGAAATTTGCTGTGCTTTTGAACAATTAATATATCTGAAATAACTAAATTTAAGTAAAACTTACTAAAAAACTGCGTTTTGAGATAAAGTTGAAGTAGATTCATTTACATTTTTGTACTCGCTGTCTTTTGTTAGACAGGCGATGACAACTGTTTCTTGTAACACGCTGTAATATGTAGTATTGCTTTCACAAACAAAGAAAAAGAAAGCAAAAAAGAAGTTCAATATTGTCAGTGTGGCGCGAATTGAATTTTTTCTTTACATTTTCAGTATAAATTTGTGCCTCGAAATTCCTGGACGCCCATGATGTTACAAATCAAAAG